ATTGCCAAGTTTGGTTTTTAAGCATGTGGCACTTGGTGCATTTTTCACAGTGTTTACTTTACAGTCGTTAGCTAAAGCTAATCCTGTTGATTGTTCCGAAATGCTGCACTTTGCATTTCATAAGCCCGGTCCAGTTATTCCTGGCTCTAGCGGTGGTGGAATACCACTGACAGAAAAAAATCAAACTCAAAAAGGAACATCTTATGTGAACATTTGCATATTGTACAATAATGCTGAAACTACTGTAAATGAAGAATATTAAAGCTTGCTTGCTTATCAGCAATAGGTTGTGCTGCACTTCCAGCCTCGTCCTAGCAATTCTTACCATCTGTATTGTCATTTTATTGTGCTTGGATTATGGTTTGGCCTGCACTTACACACGATGCAAACTGTGTATGTAGTAAGTCGACATGAGCATGGCATCTATTAAAAGTACTATTATTATACTTCATCCATTCCGTTACCTCTACAAGCAATACAGGGTCCCAGGGAAGCCGGAGCCTATCTCCCTGACACACCAGAAAACGGGAGAAAACACAAGGGGAACATACAGACTCCACACAGATACCACTCCGGCTTCAGATTCGAATCCAGGGACAAAAGCGCTAACCGCTGAACCACCCTGTTGATGTCACGCCCGTGTCTTCACAAATGATCCTGACATGCTGCTGCTGAAGTCGCATGAACTCCAGGCTGTCCATCATCCTGACAATGGTTTGCAATCAGTTTTAAACTACTTGGATACCTCAAAGTGTCTTTTACATGAACTTGCTTGCTGCTCCATGCCTGTATAGCAATGCTCTGCTCACATCTCCTGGATTAAGTCTTGGTGTCAAAAGAATCTCACATAAATAATATGTTTAATATGGTGATGATGATGATTCGTCACGGTGAAAATCTTGCCGATTTCTGATTAATGTAAGTAGTCGAGAAACAAAAAGTACACACTCGCATCAGTCCTTTTATAAAATACTGGAATATTCAGTTGTAAAATATTTTAAAGAGTTATTGTGCTGCGTCATTAATAAAAAACAGTAATAATAATGTTAGTTCATTTTATCATTGGGTACCATGATAGGCTTTTATTTATAGTTATTGTTGTCTGTGTCTGCTGCTTGCATCTTTTATTTTAGATATTTTATAGATATAAAATCCAGATATACCCACACTTCTGTTGAAACACCATAGAGTGCCTCCACTTCAATAAATGTACGTTCTTTTAAAAAAATATTGCTAGAGTAATGAATATGCTAAACCATTACTAGACAATTCAAAATAAATACTCTTTCGACTGTTCACATTAAAAATTACTGCAAACATAACATTTGATGATAGGAAAAAGATTTTTAAAAGGAACATACTTTTATTCTGTGTGTAATATGAACTATCAGTCCTTACATAGCATGGACAACAACTGCAATTCTGTTTCAATCTCCGAGATTGAAATTGAGTCCTGACGGTGCCCCTGGAAGTGCTTTTACTTGGGTGTCACCTTGTATGAAACCACTCACTCTTCAGATGCAGTACATGAACAATGGTAGACACATACACAACCTCCTGTTGGAGAAAATTGATTTATTGCTTGAAATTTATAGCAGCCTTCGCCAACCACTGGCTATCCAGAATCCAGCGGCTCAAGTTGCACATTATATGTGGACATCAAAGTTCGCTCTGTCCTAGTCAAGCAATGGAAATGTACAATGTCAAACTCAGGTTTATTGTTATAAACTAAAAAAATAAACCTTCATATGAACCTGACCTCCTTTTATAACTTGCAGGTGTATTACAGCTTTCTTATTCCTATTCCTATTCCTGTTCCTGTTCCTATTCCTATTCCTATTCCTATTCTCATACTGAAGTGATCCGCTCTGCCCCCACATGGATTGTTTCTGTGCCCCTTGCCCTTTACCCTCTGGCTCCCCCTTTCCTGCCTTGTACCCCCCATAAAAGCAGTCGGAAAATGAGTGTGGTGTAGTGTGGGTGAGACAGCACTGGCCCCTGCAGCAGTCCCACCACTCACACCACTCAGGCCTCAGATGCACAACTGGATCCTCCTGCCAGCAGCCCCAGCCACCAAACCACACAACTGCTACCACCTCATGGTCCGAGCGGAAGGGATCCCATGCCGGGACCTGGTGAACACAGGGTCCACCCTGACCTGTTGCCAACCCACACACTGCTTCAGCCAATAGTCCTAGAGCTGAGCACTGCGACTGGCGGAGCAGCACCCATCCACGGTCAGACCACTGTGGTGATGTAAGCCAGCCAGCAGCGCTCTCGTGGGCTTGTGCAGGTGGCCTTCATTCAGGTGCTACCGGTGGATTGACACCTGTGAAGCCCACCCATTCAGACAGCAGCCCCGCAAGTGGAACTGGCACCAGACGCCTAGGCCAAGACAGCCTTCTCCATAGGGCATGGGTCCTGGCAGTTTAAAGTGATGCACTTTGACCTCTGCAATGCCCGAGCCACCTTTGAAAGGTTGACATAGAGAAGGTGCCCCCAACCCAGTACCTGGATGACCTCACGGTGAATGGTGATTCATGCAAGACAGCCCCCCAAGTCCTTTAAGACATCCTGGAGAAAATAGAGGCTGCAGAGCTCAAACTTCACCATCCCAGACTACGAGCTACAGGATACCAACCCAGCATGGAAAGGTAACCAGAACGCCAAACCAGGGCTCTGAGAGGTCTGGGACTTGCTGAGCAAGGGTGCATGCCCCACTTGCAGGAAGATGGCCGGATGTCCATCCGCCCTTAAAGCTGACTGGGCTCAGTGATCTGGACGCGGCATCCAGGATGGAGCATTGAAGTGGGGTTTGGTGCACCCTGCTTCAGGAAGGGGAGAGGTGCAAGGTGATTGTGCCAGCAGTGCCTAAGGCACAGTTCCACCAGGTGCACCGTGTGGCCACAGGGGTGGAGCATTTTGGTGTCACAAAGAACCTGAGGCGAGTCCAGCAAGCCTATTTCTGAGGGCAGGTCCGACAGGACGTCACAGACTTTTGTCACCACCCAGAAGGGGCCTCCGGACCAATCTTGGGCCGCCCTGCTGGGTCCGCTCGTGACAATGGGTACATACTCATGGCCTTGGACCCCTTTACCCGCAGGACAGAGGCTTACACCCTACCAGACCACGACGAGGAGGACGTGTGCGAGGCCATAATTGGAGGGGTGGGGTTCAGTCAGTTTGGGGTGCCACAAAAACTGCACTTGGACCCAGGCTGGAGTTTGGAGTGTTTCAGTGCATGTGCCAGTGCCTGGGCGTTCGAAAGACCCGGTCCACTCTCCTACACCCCCAAGGCAATATGTGTTGAGCAGTTCAACCGCACCCTGGGCACACAGCTGTCCCTGGCTGTTGCACGGCACCGGAGAAATAGGGACCATGCAACACCCGTGGTGCTTCTCGCCTGCTGCTCGGCAATCTACCCCTTGTGGGTTGGTTGTGAGGTCCGGACACCAGCAGAGATGGTCTTCTTCAGCCCCCCCCTCACCCAGACCAAGGCCCTGCCGTGGATGAGTCGGACTACACTGCCCAACTAAGACCCGGACCCGGACCTGAACCACCCTCTCCATAATAGTTCTAAGACGCTCCTGCTTGCTCTCTTCCGGCCTGAAATCATTCCTCTCGTCTTCACCCTCCTTTTCCTACCCCTCCGTGAATAACACGCCCGCTGCAAATTAAAGGGCAATATCGCTTCCTCACAAGCCAGAACAACAGCTTCCTCGCCTCTCTTTTTCCACTGTTTAAAAAAACTTTCAGCTGCACATTATTATTATTCCAACTCGATTCACAGTACATAACACAGTTTACATCATGCACTCAGTACAATCAAAACAGGCGCCCACAGCAAAATGAGAACTAAAACTTAAAATCCACATTAAACTATACAGGTTTCCACAACCTGGTAACCAACCAGTGAACTGAACTAACCAATTATTAACCAGTAGTGCCACAGCACAAGGTAACTCGAAAGAAAGCAACTCAATTATATTAATATTAATCATTTCCAATGTGTCTTGTCCAGTCGTCCATTTAGTTTTTTCTCCCTGTCAGAGCCTTAACACAGGACAGTGGGATATAAAAGAAATGAACAATAGGTTTATTCCATGCTGAAAAAAAGAAGAAAGAGAACACAACGTTTCGGCCGTGGAGCCTTCTTCAGGTGTGAGAGAGACAGGGCAGTAGGCAAAGGTAATGTAGCAGGAGAACAAAAGCTGGGAGAGAGGAGGAGCGAGAGGCGGGAGCAGGGGGACAGACAGAGAGGCCAATCAGGAGGTGTGAAGTCAGAATAGGTGTAGAGAGGTGTGAAATGAAACCTACAACGAATAGAGAGAATTTAGAAGGAAAGTAGTCTGTTGTTAAGAGAAGGGGGAAGGTGTGATCCTAGCTGCAGGATAATTTAAGTTTCGGTGGTCTTTCTGATGTATGAGTTCGGAAAACCATCTTTGAGAACACAGACGGAGAGATTAGAGTGGCCTTGTCTTTCTCACACCTGAAGAAGGCTCCACGGCCGAAACGTTGTGTTTTCTTTCTTCTTTTTTTCAGCATGGAATAAACCTATTACTTGTTCCTTTGGAGCCTGACGCAGCTCTCCACCTGAACTAAAAGAAATGAATTCCTACTGTTGTAGTTGACGCCTTTTGTTCACCAGTTTCGCTGAATTGAATTTGTGTGAAACGTACAACACATAGGGCTTCCGTTCAGTATAGATTAGGATTTGTTTTGTGAAGAAACCAAAGACGTTATTTATATTCCCCCGCACTATTTTCAGCAATTGCAATGTTCTTTTTCTGCACGTCGCGATAAATGACTTAACAAAGGGTCATCTAAAAAAAAAAAACAATTAACGGAAATGTATTTATGAGCCCCTACTTATAAACTAATAATATCAATAATTGTTATTGCTGTTGTTGTTATTTAGGAGGCTCTCCCCTCCAGAGCGCCCCCTCCGTGAAACACGCCCAGCACTCACTCGGCATCAGACTCGAGCTGTTAGCCAAAACTCCGCAGCCGCCGCTGTCCGCCGCTGTGGGACTCGAGAGAGCTGCTCCAAGCGTGTCCTGAGCGAGTGCTGTAACGCAGCGAGTGCGAGAGGTTGTACTGAGAGGAAAAGAGCTGAGTGCATCCTTGAACAATTATTTGCCTGGGACAGCGGGTTTTTTTTTTTTCGCAGCTCGTCTCCGCGTCCTAGATTTCACGTGACAGTTGCACAGGGCGGTGAGCGTTACCTGGTCTGGCCGAAGAAGAAGTAGCATCTGTGCGCCTGGAGAAGATTGTAGGCAAGCGGACAACGAAAATACGTGTAGCTTTAGCGCAAATCAGGGGGTGAGGTCTGAGGCTGGTGTAGGATGCGTATGCCAGAGCCTGTGTTCATGTGAAGCACCTGGTGCCAGTCTCGTTTGGGGATATGGAGAAAAGCATTGAGACCTCAGCTACTGTACTTCTCCCGTGTCATTGTACCTAGCGCCTGTGAGAGGACAGCTTTCTCCTGCAGAGGATGCCTAACAGGTAAGTGTCCGCTCTTGTTTCCAGAACCCGTGTTTTCTTTTTTACTTGGTCTTTGCGATGTTGTGTTCCGCAGTGTCGCATGCCTCGAGTTCATACAGTAGTACGACTTCAGAAGGCTGACAAGGTGTTTCTGGGGGGGATCAACGGAAAACACAAGTCGTGCGTGTTTTTTTTTTTATGACAGGTGTGTGTGTGTGGGGGGTGGAAGCTCGCCGATTCTTCAGGGGCGAAGGCTTGAGAGCTAGCTTTTTGTGTGCTAAAATTGTTTTGCGATTGATAAGACTCTTGATTTAATCTAATGGTGTTTGCAGATGCCGCGTGAGGCGTTTATCCGGGCATGGTTTTCAAAACGTGTCTTTTGGAAATAGACTGATATGAAAATAAGTTGTTCCCATTCTTGGGCATGGGTGAACATAAGGGTGAGATGTGTAGCTTCGATATGAAGTGGGTATTCTATTTTCTTTGACAAAATTACAGATGTAATTTAGATGAAACTGCGCACTTGTGTACGCACTAATAATTTGATGATCTGGAAAGATAAAGTTTTGATTCAGACGGGATTGCTATATGCTCTTAAAGTGATTTTATACTGCGGATCATGCCAATAAATAACACCAAGAGCAAAAGCATCAGATAATATACCGAAAATAAGCTGAAAACGACGAAACGAGCATCAATTCCAAACTGTAAGCAAACTATCGCAGTAGTGCAGGTTAGTTTTAGTTGTCCAAGTTTAAAGTGTTCGACGTTATGGACATTGTTCAAGTTTATTTGAACAAAGATCCCAAATATAAAATACGACAGCATTTTGCCGAAGTATTAAAGTCCACCTTTTTGGGAAAAAATGGGAAAAAGGCAATTAATACAAATACGGTAAATCTTTAATGTTTTGAATGGTGCGCAGAATCATTTTGGTATTCTATCTGTGTCACTTGGGTGTAAAATTGTCTCTTTACTGACATTAACTGGGTTTTAAAAGAGGGATTTAGATGGGCGGGACTTTATTGTCAGACAAATTGACAAAGAGATCGACACATATATTCCCATGCTTAAAGGTGAATGGTTGTCCTGTGTAAATGATTATCGTTTACCTACTGAAGGTTTTTTTTTCTGCAGCATTTTAAGGTGTATTCTACTTCATCCCTATTTTAATAACATTTGATTAATGATAAATTCCGCATAATTTGTATGTGGTCTTAATAGGGAAGTTGTTTATTGTTTATTAGTTGTTTATTTTTCTTCTCTTGTAAGACTGAATGATGAAGTGAATGAATGCATACAGTATATAAAATAGGCAACAAAAGCAAACTAATATAGCGGTTCCTGCTCAGTTTTAAATTGCACAGATCGTCAAAAAGTTATTTTTAACAAGCTGGCCATTTCCTTTTATCGGCATATACAGATTACATTTCGTCCATTTCTGTTGCAATTAACACCATTACTCTACATGCAGTAGATAAAAGCGATTTTTGTAATTAGTGATTGCCAACTATGTTAATTAACATGACTAAATACAGGGAAAACAGTTCTATGTTAGTGTTTAACATTGACATAATTTATATTTTCAGGTAACCATCAATTTAGAACAGACTCCACTTACTTTCAGAGATTATTAAGAAAATTATAGTTAACCTTAGATATATTTGTCTCCCTTCTGATATATTGCACATCAAATGTGTGTATACTATATGCACCACTAGATTTCACTAAAGAGCTGTAGAGTTTAAAAATATTGATAGAATTATCAAATGAGTATGAAATCTTTTTTTTCTTTTCAAACAAATACAAAAGAAGTTACCAGCCTGATCCTCAGGCTGCTCCTTTGTTGAGAGCTACGTTTAATTGTGATGATAAAATATTTAATAATTGCCAATCATGAGGAGGTAGATATGGTTGTGTGTTGTTCCATTTATCCTAATGACACTGCAGGGTTAGACTGCAGCACAAACTGAAGGGTTTGTGCTTTCTCAAAGCAAGGCAGCCTGCTGTGACCTTCAAAAGGGAAAACATGAAATGTTCTGCTGGTCGATGAAAGGACTGAGCTGCCGAATAGCAGTAAAATTCATAGAAGGACAGGTTTTGAAAATTCACAGTGACTAATTTAGAGAGCTAGTGTAATCATCACATTTCTTTGCATTTAGCAATTGCTGACAATGTCTTGTCACAATACGAAAAGGAATACATTTTTTTTACACTAGAAGTTTATTGTAGAGGAGATTACAGTGCTTGGAATTCAAATATGCACTTTGATTCAGCACTTGCAAGGGTCTCTAAGTTAATCTAAGTTAATCTTCTGTCAACCAGAATTGTAGAAAAAAACATAACCATTTACAATATTTTCCCTTGCACTGCTTGAATATTCCCTAAGACCAGAGCAGCCCTGAGTAAAAGCAGGCTGAATATTTACCGAATGACTAGACACTTGCTGAAAAGCTTTATAGTATCAAATCAGATAAAAGTTTTACAGTGTATTTAACATTTTAAAAAATACACAACAAACTGAAACTGACATGTTCCTAACATTTTGACATCAGCTATACTTTTTAGTCTTGCAATGAAAATAGCTTTCACTGCGGGGAGTATAAACTGCAATTTACATCCATAAAAAGAAACTTAACAAGGCTAGACCGTGTAAATGTCCATTATTGTTGTGTTCTGTTGCTGAATAATTACATCCAATGCTGGAGACTCATTGTCTTCACTTTGTGCTTTGTAAATGCATTTCTAATTATCTCATAATGCAAGTAAAGAGTAAAATACGATTCACATATTAACATTAGATTAATCTTACAAAAGAAGCTTAAACCTAAAAGTGATTTTTTAAATGGTAGAATCTATATCACCACAGTGATGTAACTGGAAGATGTTTAAATTATACATTCACAATTCGTTGTGGCCTTTAGCTTTTATGTTTTAACTAGACATTAGTTTCATCTACATTATTATAAATGTAGACTGTGGGGGGCTTTCAGGTCTCTAGCGTATTAGTGACTTGTGTCATTCAGATGCTGGTATAATCTGAATCTGTCTGGCTCATTCTTGAACCCTGCCTCGGTGTGTGTGCTTGTTCCTCTGCTTTTTTTAGAAACAAGGGTCAGGTCCCGTCCCAGCGGTAAAATAATGCGAGGTTTTGTGTGAAAAAGCAAAAGGACGTATCATTGTGTGAATGCTGTCAAAACAGAGCTGAGGTTCCCCTTAACACTAGTTTGTACTGTAAATCCTAGAACACAGCACAGAAAATCTAACCCTCAGCTCGAAGCTGGAGGGGGGAAATCGCTAATGTGTGGAAAATTTCGGCAGTTCTGAGTTTGAGTCATTTTCCTACCACGTTTTCTGTTGTGACAAAGAATCTAATAAAATGTCATAAAGCATGTGCCTTTTATTTTCATGTCATTTTAGTTTTTGCATAGCAGCCTTCACAGCAAGCTGTCGCAGTGCACTATCTCGTTGATTGACACACACTTTACTGGCAGGGCTGTGCGAAACAAAACGTCAAAAGGAAATGAGCACAAGTGGGTGTAAAGCTGTTTAATGTGTCATAGAGTAGCAGTGTAGCCGTCAGGCGCAAAGGAGAGAAAAACAAAAAACTCCACGAGGAAAGAAGTGATTCCCTGAGGGTCCGAGGCCCGGTGGTGTGTCTCCCCTGCAGGCACTGGCTGTGTGTAGTGAGGCGGTGTTTGAATGGCAGGATAGTGTATGTGTGAGCCAGGTTGGGAGAGGTTGTTGGGGTTTCTGTATGAAAGCAGACGTGCAGTATGAGAGGGAGTGGGTGTGTCCCAGAGCCGGATGGATCAGTCTGGGATCTGGGATCTTACAGTGCCATGTCCTAATCCAGCTAGGTGTTCAGATCAGGTGCAGGAATCAGGCAGGTGCTCTGGGAATCCTGATCAATGTAATAAAGCTGAAGTACTGCACATAAGCATGCATGGTGATACAGTATGTTAATGGAAGAGACAGGTGAATCCTATGGGGATGATAGTGAAAGTGATGATGAAATAACTGCTTAGTCCTAAGTTTTAATTTATTTGATGTTTATTTGATGTTTTGGCATTGGTAAAGATATACATGTACCCGATGTTATTGTTTAGCTAAATTATGTCATTTGCACACAACTACTTTGACAAATCACACAATTATCTCAGTCTGTGTGTAGTAACAGGGGCTCATGTAACTTCAGTATAAGCACACTTGTCACTGTAAGCTCCCTCAGTGAGCTAGTGAATGTCAAGCAAAGCGTCAGCCAAGGAGTTTTCAAAACAACCTAGGGTCAAAATTGAACAAAGGCATGGTTCAGGAGAAGGATATGAAAGGATACACTGAATATGCCCTTGAGTCGCACAATGTCTGAGCATGCTGAAATGAATTAAGAACCATGTACTGTACCACTCAGATGAGGCTGTTTCTCCATACTGATCAGCTAACCAAGGAGACAGCTGTGAGGCCGACAACCACAGTATCCCACTCACTCCACAAAGGAGGCTTGTATGGAACATCTCAAATCCTGGATGGGATAACTGATACTAAGGGAGAATGCAGACACATGGTAAAAGATGTTATTGTCAGACACTACCAAGTGGGAACTTTTTGTCAAGACTGGGAAAACCAAGGTTGCTTCTGGAAGAGGTATTAGAGGGGCCAGCAGGGGGCGCTCACCCTGCAGTCCATGTGGGTCCCTCATCACTATATTGTGGCATCAGGGCCCCCACAAAGTGAGCACCCCTTACTGGTCCCACTAACACCACTTCCAGCAGCAACCTCAGCTTTCCCAGGAGTCTCCCCTCCAGGTACTGACCAGGCCCCAACCCTGCTGAGCTTCGGTGGGCTGCCAGCTGTGAGCTGCAGGGTGATACAGCTGCTAGCTATGGTAGTTTGCAAACTAGAGGAGGTCATTCAGTCCATCTAACCCGTTTGGTAGTTAGCGATTAATTGAGTAAAGAATTTCATTCACACGATTCTTGAAAGAAGCATCTGTCTCAGCGTCAACAGCATAGCGGCGTAGC